TGGGAGGAGAACAAGTGACAAGATGGTGTGGTGAAGCAAGGCCTGGCTGAGAAGAGGACTGTCTTCCTCCCCGCCCATTCGCCATAAAACCATCAAGCATGACGGCCTGCAGACCCTAGCCACTCTCCCTGTTCCAGTCATGGGCACCCCCTTTTACCTCCCCCTGCACTTCCCTTATCTCTACACTATAAATAAATGCACTGTGGTTGCCTGGCAGTCTTTCTCTCCCATCAGGAGGAAAGCTCCACTTGGCCCCAGCGTTGTATCTCTTTTTCTTTTCTTTGTTTTGTTACTCGGGATCGAACTCTGGTCCTTGCGCTTGCGCAGCAGGCAGCAAAACCACTGAGCTAAATCCCCAGCCCCTGTCTTTCTTTTCTGTACCACCCCCCTACCCCCGCACCGTTCTCCCTCCATGGACCCTTCAGCCACTCAGGCCGAGGCACAATGCTACCATGACAACCAAATGCAGTGTGTGGTTCAAGACTGAAAAACAAAATGCTAAACAGAACTTTAATGGAAAAAATCAGAGAAATACGAGTACAAACTATGTGTTAGATCATAATACTACACCAATGTTAAATTTCTTGGGTTTATTAATGGTCTTAAGGAAAAGAAGACAGCCTTGTCTCGGAAACTATATCTCAAAGTACCGAGAAGTGAAGAGTGATGATGCCTTAAATATATACATAAGTGACTCAGAACAGCAAAAAAGCAGTACATATACTTCTTTCTCTTCTCTCTGCTCATACCTTTGCATATGAAAGGGAAAATAAACACAGCAAAAGGTTAACTTATAAACATAGTTAAAAGGTAGACAGGTACTCATGGTGCTATTTTGACTCTTCTGTAAATTTGAAATTTTCAAACTAGAACTTTGGAAAATAAATTTTATTTCACTGGCCCCAGGCTGAGATCACTGTTTAAAATTTAATAGTATTATTTTCTTTTCATCATACTTATTGGCATAGTTACTTTCTGGTTATGGCAGGTAATTTTGGTTAGTAAGTATATGAATTAGCAGTATTGGCTATCTGATAATCTTTTATTATCGAAAGCTGATCAATCCTCTGACTGCCTAGAAAGGGGGACAGAGAGGGCTAAAGAAAAGAAGACCCCAGAGGCTTGTGTAATTTCAAAGTATATGGGGGACCCAGGAGGTCAGTGCCTCAGAGTGGGCAAAGACAAAGACTCTCTGAGCTAGCCATTATTTATTGGGTACATGCAGTAATTGGAGGGAGTGTCAGGTGACCTAAGGGGCAGCGGTAATCGATGCACATATTAGGCTGATGGGGATCTTAGGTCATGAGGTTCTTATGTTGAGGAGTGCTGTAAGGAGAACATTCTTACAATAGTAGGTAGGATGTGTTAAGCTGATAAGGAATTTGTCCCTTCCCAGGTGAAACCTTTCTTT